AATGTATATTTACATCCTCCCTATTACCACTGAAAGTTTCCAAGGAAGCAGAGGTTTGTTGCGCTAACAGATAGTCCTGTCTCCTCTCCCCGCCCCAGTCCCCTACACCCCTTGTCCTTCCCTGACCCTTAGCGCAGTCCTAGCACAACCCGTCAATGACCTGTTTAACGTCTCGTTCAGGGAGCGCAGAGAGATGCTGGCTTTAGCCATCCTCCTGGAGAGCGCGAAGAGAAGAAGTAAAAGCCAGAGTGGGCTTGATCCTCCCTCCTGAAGCAGGCAGCAACAACAGGGACAGGGGATCTGACTCCTGCTGGAGGTTGTTTGTATCAAGGCTTTTTATAGACTGTATATCCAAATATAGGTCATAGATGCACAGACACATGCTTGTGAACATATCACATATGGAACTATGCATCTGGACCGCTTCCTGGACCCACTGATCCTGTCTGTCCTCATACAAAATTAATTTAGAGGTGACAGGAAAGGGGGTACCTACACTATTCTGCTTTTTTTGCTGTGTTTTGGCTTCATTTTGCTGTTGTGCCCACCAGTTCGTGCCTTGGGCCAAAGTCTCCTGCTGTTAAAGGCTGTACAAGCAGATTACTTTTTTGCCTTTTTTTTTTTTTCTGTTTAAAAGGTATGATGGTAAAATCAGATTTGGGTGAGAATGAGTTGTATTTGGTTGCAGGGAGCTCCTTTGAGGATGAAGGATAGCTAAACCAAGACGGTTGGAATCTCTTCCATAAAGGATGGGCAGCCAGGCTAATGATTTTCAGGAGCTAGGTATGCAAAAAAAGAGCTGGTAATTTTTCCAGCAAAAAAAGAGCTGGTAGTTTTTCCATCAGAAAGAAAAAAAGAAGGCAGATAGATAATGTGTGTCTGGTAACAGCACAGCTAGTGAAACAAGATAGCACAAACCCCACATCAGTGAAGCAGGTCTTCAGCCAGTACCAGGCATTCAGTTTTGTGAAAACTTAAGGACAGCCTGAGAAAAAAAAACTTTCTTTCAATTATTTGCCCATTCCATGGGAAGGCCAGCATGAATCAAACATGTCAAGAGCTGCAGCATTCCCACTTAGTTACATTCTCCCCACCTTCAACTTGCAAATTAAGAGATCCTTCTAGCAAGCCATAACGGCCAAGTTCTGCTCGTTGTGTTTCTAAAGCTTTGGGAAGACAGTGGGAGTATTTGAGTAAGGAGGAGCAGTGCCTTTGGCCCTTTGTATTCCCCCTGTGATGGGGGGATACCCTTCTTGACACAATTCTGCACAGCACATAAGTTTGGCAGTATTAGAGTGAGTATAAGCACAAGGGAGCAGTGAGAGAGAAAGCATTTATTAAGACAAGTCTAATAGTTATTTTTCCGTGGGGTAAACAACTAAATGCGTAAGACAGCTGACCCATTAAACTGATGTTAACATTTTCCCCTGCTCTTTCACTTTCTGCAGTGTGAAAAAATCCAATTGACAACAACTGTTTAAGTAATTTGATTACTCATTAGTTAGTTGATGTTTCTCTAGTCTTATATGCAGCTGCTGACAAACTAATGAAAAATATATTTCCACTACGGCCAGTTTACGCTGACCATGACACAGTTTAATGGGGAGAGTAAAGTAAAGCACTGGAATAGTTCAAAATGCAAGGAGCTCAGCCAATGACTGCTCAGCATCCTCATTTAGCATTGTAGGTGTCCCCGTTAGCGTGAATTTCTTCCTCCAACCTTAATTATGTCAGCTTAGTCATGAACTAATATTATCCCTAAATATATTGAAACCCGTTTCACTTAAATTCAAGAAGCAAACTGCCAACCCTGCAAGAAACAGCTGCAGTGAATACCAACAGCCACCAGAAAATGTAAGGTGAGGCCAGTTACATCATGAGTACTTGCGTGAGTACACAGCAAATCCCTTCCCCTTCCAAAGGATGCAGCAGGTTTCACCGTTCAGTTCACTGTCAGCGGATGTAACTGGACTAGTTTCAAACGCTCTGAGAAGTGGTTTCTCCCCATAAATTTCTTTAAACATCTCAGTGTCTAAGGTTCTGGCAATGGATACACAGAGACAGAACTACTCTGGTCAGCAACTAATACTCTCTTGGAGCCTTTGAGCTCTGCGCACGAGATCCAGTTCACCTTCTCTCCGTGCTCAATGGTCAGCTTTGGTGAAACTCTAGCATGTTCATTTGAAGCCACTTTGTTGAGCTTTCCATCTTTTCTGGTGGAAGCAGGTGCTTGGGCCTTCCTCCTCTGGAGAGATTTTGCTGGACTTTTCTGCTGCTTTCCAACATCACTGCTGACATCCCAGAGCAAGACTTTCCCGTCATTTCCTCCAGTCAACAACCAGTATGCTTCTGGCATAAAGAGGACCTGTGATACTCCCAAGCTGTGACCTTCAAACTCCAGCTCACGTTCAAACTTGACACCGGTGACTCTGAATATTCTGACTTTACCATCTTGAGCTCCGCAGCCAAAGATGTTGCCGCATGCTGCGACAGACAGGGAATGTGCAAGCGGCGGGTTAAAGAACTGGCCGGGTGACTGTAGACCGTCTTCCTCCATTTCACACTCCTGCAGGTTTGTGGTCCACAGGGGGCGAGCTTTCTGCAGGTTCCACAGCATAACCTTGGAAAAAAAGTATGAATCAATAATTCACCCAGTTCTGATTTTAAGTAAAATCAGATCTTTCACTAACAGTAAAAAAAACCAACTACACTTCTTGCTCTAGCAGAGCAAAGACTATGAATAAGTGCAAGAGATGCAAGATGTGTTGTGAGGAGTGGTTGAACTTCACCCGATAAATATGGCAAATCTTTATGGCACGCTTTCCAAACCCTCATACTGCCTACTGCAGAGTCAATGACTCAGACCTTTAGACCACGAAATGGATGCAAAAAGCTGTTCTAAATGCTTTTGCATTCATCTCAGTAGTAGTAATCATGATAACACTGCACATCAATTATTTACAAGGAAGGACACGGAAACGCCAGCAGTAAATAGAGATCATTACCATTCTGAATTTTAGTTCTGTCTCTGCTACATACTTGTCCTAAAATAACCACTTCTGTGAACGTGTTTGAAAAATGGAACAGCAAAAGGCAAACAGTAGTTCAGGCCTGCAGTTTTAACAGCCATATATGTATTTTTTTTTATATCCAATGAGTAGATCTGGTTTGTGCTATTACCATATCAAAATAGGGCATGCTTTTCCTGATGAGATGGGGGGAGGTTGTGCTTTTAGCCTTGCTTTTAAAATGCCACCCCAACCTCAAGCCCCTCATGAAGCAATAACTGTGCCTTCAAATGAATCCTGCGTCTCTCATAGAGCAATTCAAGTACTATAGATTTATATATAATTCTCTCAATACTTTTGTAGTATTTGAATTGATGATGAGCATTTTCAAGGTAAACACATACGAAAGCACAAGTCAGTCTAATGCAGTACTGGTGTGCTGTTTACTTTTTTAATCAAAGTTTTAATTTGTTATTAATAAAGATATTCCTCCACTAGTCATCTCCAGTAGAACATACAGAAGTCTTTAAATTTGGGCCACAAAAGAGTTGTCACATTGGCTCTCTGTTTCTGGAAACCAAATCACACTAAGACATCCAAAATACATTGTTTCCTGTCACTTTTCTGTTTTAAGGACTGCTGTTGCTGCTACATTAAAACTATTTTGCTACCCATGAAAGGGACAACTTTCCATGACGACTGTGCAGAGCAGAGTAAATCAGAGAGGCTGTGTCTTAATGCTTAAGGCAAATACTCCAGTTTTCATCCCAGACAGCACTGCATGAGTTTATGAATTCATCAAGCGCTAACAAGTTTTCTGCAAACTAAGTATTTTCTGTCTTCATTGCATTTTCCCTGCTTCCATGGCACTCCCAAAGAAACACCAGCAACATACATTTCAGTTCTCATCAGCTACTGGCTTCACTGAGGGTTAGACATGTGAGCTGAGAACACATTTTGATGCCCGTAGAGCTTGTAACTTGTCCAAAGACATGCTGCAGCACAGCATTTTGGAGTATTGTAGCTCAGCTTCTCTTTGTGAAATGTTGTATCTTAAAGTCGGCCTCGATGTGGAAAAATGCTCTTTTCATTGTACAAAACCACACTAATGAATTCCTATGATTTTGGGGTACTGACTTTCACCTAAAAAACTCCTTGCCAAGCTACAGTAAAACATACTAAAACTAAAAAAGTCATAAAAAATAACCAGTTCACTTGCACAGAAGTGGTATATAAACGGTTACAATTCTGATTAAAAAATCTGCATTTTAGGGACCTGAAATTAAGCCAGCTGTCTAAGGTGCTGACAACTGAGCATTTACTCTTCTCAGACCGATGCTTCGGTACCTCTGCAAAGAAGTTTCTAACAGTAATTCATTCAAAATCCTACATCCATCTTTTAGTCAACCTAAGGAAAAAAAAAAAGAATTTGGAAGATTTCCAAAAATTTGACAAAGTTTAAACCTGGCAGACTTCTACCAATCAGCCCCTATTTGGATATATATACTTACTGAATTTATATGACCCATGGCTTTAATACAGAAAAATAATGCTTATACTAAATATCAAAATATATTTGTTCTAATGGGTGTTAGATGCACTTTGGTTTTAAGAACATAGGGTGAAACTGCTCAACGCTGTCAAAGCAAACTTCACCCTAATACCGCTAGAACCACGGAAACCTTTGTAGAAGTGATAGTTTTTATCTTGGGCTAAACCAGGAATGTGGTCAGATCTCAACCACTGGAAAGAAATTACTGAAAAACATCTGTTCTGGGTGGCCAACTCTGGCAATGTAACTCAAGACTCCATTAACTCCTAGCACCGTTTTGCTCGGAACGCTTTCACAAGAGGTGTGCAAAGGACAAAGTTTCCTCTTGACAAGGACAGAGAAGCGTAAAAGGCAAAGAACATTTAACGCTTCCAAGAGGTTAATCAGAACAAAGGATAAATTTATGAAAATGACTTGTCCTTAGAGTGGTACATACCACCTGCATAGATATTTATCTACCTGGTATAAAGTATTCTTGCTAGCATACTGTCTGCTTCAAGCATTTTGCATTTTCCTATCATCTGCATTTTGTCTGCAGCCATAATTAGTGACAACTTCTGGTTTTGGGTCCAACAGAGAGCTAATGTGCCCAGAGCATGCTTTGCACCATCTTCTCATTTCCCCCCACCCCACCCATTTCTATAATGTAACTATTAATGAAGATAAAAATAGGGAGAGGAACTGCCGAGTAGAAAATGGCACAAACAGCCTCGACACTGTTAGCTTCTCTGCCAAAACTACTTTAGAAAAGCTAAGGAGCTTTCCGGGGACTGCAGGCTGTACCTCCTCAGTCTTAATGGAAGTCTGTTGGTGCCTCGCCTCACTACACAGGTGGGTAGTTACTGTTTCGCTTCTCTAATAACCATCTACTTGTATGCAAATCACCTGCATGTCCAGTCCACAGGAAACAAGGCTTTGAGGCCTCTGAGGTCGAAAGACAACAGAGGAGCAGATGTTTGAGTGTCTCAAGGACCGGCTGACTTTCTTGTTTTCCAAGTCCATAACCTTTATTGCCCCCGAGTCATCTGCCGCAGCCAAGAAATTGTCAGTCTCGTTCACCGAGAGGCAGTTGATCTCCTCCTCATTCACATGGAAGCGTTCAACAGGCTCCTTGAGGGATCGAACATCCAACCAGCTGACAGTTTCTCCGTGGGAGGCGTACAGCCTGGTGGGACAGCGGGGAGAGAACACCACGGAGGTCACGTCGTCTGCCGTGGGGAGCTGGAGCTGTCCTGCTGGAGTGCCTCCCCCATCCCAGAGCGTGAGCTCGCCTCTCTCTGCGCCTGAAGCCACCAGCCCTTCCGTGTTTACATTCAAGCACAATATAGAGGACGAATGTCCACCAGTCCATTTGACTGCCATATTTCAGGGACACCTCTGAAACAAAAAAACCAAAACCCTGAATTGAGCTGGTGTTGGTCGCATTACAGCAGAGAGCTTATTTAAGCAACAAGATCATCGCATTGACTGTAACGCACACTACTTGAAACTCTAGCGTCCAATTAAAACAGGCACCTCTGATCAGTATCCAAATGAAGCTTTGGCTCAAACAGCATCAATGTCGGCCATGACAGTGTGGAACGGCAGCGGTGCTGGCATGTGTACCTATGCAGTTCGTGCTGCTCTGATGTGGCTGCCCAGGTGAGAGCTGCTTCCTTTGCTGCTTCCTTGCAGCGTGTAAGGACATAGCGTGCCTGACAAAACAGGGGCGTGGTTCCTAATGGGACATACTGGAAAGAAACAAGGGGAAAACAGCAAACCGGTAATTTTCTCATGACTGGTAAACACTAAAGCAGTTTGCATAAAATGATAAACAATGGCATATTTTTAAAAAAACATTACCATTTTAAAGCAGGTAGTTATGAGGTTCACAACAGGTTTAATCAGGCCTCAAAGCAGCTCAAAGCATGCCCATCTAGCTTACCATGCTCCTGGCCCTTTGCTTGGCGTGTCTGCCCACAGCAGCCCGTGCAACAGGTCCGTTTAGGGGACCAAATCAGCGGAAAATGAAGTGAGGAAAAAAAATGAGCAACACAAAAGCAGAACAGGTTTTGGAGAGACTAGTACGCTGTGGGGGAAAAGGAGAGCTAATACCAGGGTAGGGGCGCAGACGGCAATGCGGGGTTTGCGGGACGGAGCTATGGCTGTCCCGGCACCAGCTTCGGCAACCGCAGCGCTGTCTTAACGTCTATGGTTTTATGGCATTATTGGGCAATAAAGGGGTTTTTTTTAACCATGTTATGTTTTGCATGTGAATTTTGTTGAGCCTGGTCTAAAGAGCAGCTAGAATTTGTTCAACCCACCAGAAAAATTTCAGTCTCATCGATTAAATAAAATTACAGAAGGCACCGGATACCATACCCGCAACTCGGGTCGCAAATTCGCGGCCAGCTGCTCGCCCGCACTTCGGGATCTGAGGTAACTTTTTCCCGGCTGCCCCCTCCCGCCCCGCAACCCCTCGCACCGGTAGGCCCGACTCCCGGCTTTTAGGAAGACAGCCACCCCAGCGCCGAGGAAGCCAGCGCCTCAGGGGAGCTGACACAGCTTTGACGGCTGTCCCATGGCGGGGGAACCCCGCGCCCGTCCCTTGCGGCCCCCGGGGGCGGCGGGCTCGCACCGGACACCGACGGCAGCAGCGAGGGGGGTGAAGCCGA